TAATATTACAACAGAGTTAAAAAATGCATGAATATTTATGATGTTCCACCTGTTATCATTTGACGTTGAGTTGACAATGTTTGTGCTAGGCAGTGCTTTTGAAGCATGGCACGTCAATGTTAAGCAGCTACCTGAAACTGTAAGGAGTCCAGAGAGGAGTTGGTGTCACCGTGATAGATGTGGACCAAACTTTTGTTTCTACCCTGTTGCAGGAAGACCGTCCAATAGTTGCATCTGTGCCTAGCTAAGCAGCCGTTAGTTGTCATCCGATGTATGCCAAGTTGGCGTCACAGCACACAGCATGAGAAATGGACCCTTCTTCTCATGATCACAGGAATGATTCTCGTAAGTTTTGACTTTTTAAGTAATGTTAGAGTCACATTGGGTAAAAGTTTATTTTGGTATTTGTTTCTATTTGGGGGTTACTTGTCATATCTTTACTGTCTCTATGCCACCTCCATATATACCGCTTATTACTTGATCCTAAAATATGTAGTCGTGTATTGATTTTAGTGGAGAGAAGTGAGAGAGGCAAATCATCAGAGAGTCAGTTACAGTAATGCTACTATTTATTTCATTTGTATGGTACAGTCGTAGTAAATTAGGAAGTGATGCTGCTTCTTGTCCAAAGGGATGTGCCTGGACTTGATGCTGGCCACCTGTAACATAGAAAGTTCATTCGATGAGTTGGCATCACAGTGATACATATGGACCAGAAAAAGTTTGAGTTGAACTCTGAGATAATAAGAATATAACTTTTAGATTTTTTTCATTCTTTTTCAGGTCAGATTCACCTCAAGTCACCAGCAACCAGCAGAAAGGAGCCGGCTACTAGAGGAAGACTAACTCTTATAATGTAAATGATTTGAAACAATAAAGAATTTAAAAAATGACTACATCTGACATTTTACTTGATTTCATACAAAGTTAGCTAGAAGCTGTGGCAACTGTGGAGGTAGTAGCAGACTGCCACCACTACAGCAGTGACGTCACGGGCGTCTCGGATGCAGCTGTCGTGGAGCCGTGGAGGCAGCAGTAGCTACTACTACTACCCCCACAGCCCCCGCAGCAGCGCCCAAGACGCCCGTGACGTCACGACGGCAGCGGCGGCACCCCGCTACTACCTCCACAGCAGCCGCAGCCGGGAGGAGGGCAGGGGGAGGGGAGGTTTTTTGGACGGCTCAGGGCGACACGTCCAGCCCCCTCATTGACGCAGTGAGGTCACGCGTTGCACGTA